AAGAATGCTGCATCAGCTGTCTGCATATAGAAGACTAGGTCTCCTTCTTAGGGGCCCCCCCTGGCCAATGGAGGCCCCCGCAAGGGTGCAACCCTCTTCTTTATACTCTCTTCCTTCTCTTGATAGCTCTCTCCCTGCTCGTGTTGTTAGTTGGTGGTTGGAGGCTTTAACAGCAGCAGCAGCAAGAGCTTCATTTACTTTAGGTGTCCCTGCTGCTGCTGGGTTGTCTCCTCAAGCTGCAGAGACAGAGGGGGAGACGGGGGGCCCCAAACAGATGGAGGGGGCCCCTGGGGCCCCTAATGAACAAACTATAGGCCCAGGGTCTCGGGTGTATAGACAAGAGCACCCGGGGACATCTACAGCAGAGCCCTCGTGGAGAGAGGTGGGGCTGGTTTTAGCATTTGATGAAGAGACAGGAGCAGGCATCTGTCTCCTCCGCAACAAACCAGCAGACGGGCCTTTAAAGACACCCCAGGTAGCCTTCACTGCATGCATGCATGCATGCATGCATGCGCCAATGTCTTCTTCTTTTTTAGGGGCCTTCCCTAGCCCCACAGTGTTTGGGGGGGGCCCTAAGAAGGAAGAAGACATATCATAGCTCAGCTGTATGTACACCTGAGTCTGTTTCCTCATTTTGTGTTGTCTTTATACTTCTAATTTGCGGTGTATGTACACCTCAGATTCTCTGTAGATACCCGGGGCTTTGACGTGCATGCATTTCTTTGTTTGTTTTGCATTTGCAGGAGATGGCGAAGTTTGCTGTGTCTCTTGCAGGGACCCCCGTGAGGGTCTCTTCTTCCAAGACGCCTGGGGGGGGCCCCCAGGGGCCCCTTGGGGCCCCAGGGGCCCCTAGGGGGGGCCCCCAAGAACCCCCTGGGGCCCCGGGGGCCCCTGGGGGCCCCTCTACTACCCCTCAGGTTGGTGGTGATGTGTTTATGATTGTGCCTCCACCATATGTCCTTGACCTTGTGCTTCGGGTTAGCGATCCCCCGGAGAATAAGTAAATAATATTTAATTTAATGTCTCTCTTCTTCTTTCTAACATCCGGGGGCCCCAAGGGGGCCCCCAACCCACGCACTCAACATGCAGCAACTGTCTCCAACCCTTTTAGGGTCTTATGTGGGGTCTCTACCCCTTTTATAGAAGGCGTGCTTACTCTATTTATGTGTTTATTATAAATATGCATCTCCTCGGAGTTTAATATCGCTTTAAAAGACTTCAAGAAAACCTCAACAGGGCCCCTTTGGGGGTTTTCTTAAAGTCTTTTATACCCGCGTAACTATATATATATATATATATATGTATATATATACATATATATATATATATATATATATATATATATTGATATGTATGTGCTATTATATAAACCCTTATTTTTTCGTGTGTGTTTCTTTTATTTGATTAGTTGTGTATTTTTATTCTCTTTTGGGGGTTATTATTATTAGTAGTAATAATAATAATATTATAATAATTTATTATTATGATAATATTATTATTATTGTTGCTGCTGCTGTTGAAAAGAAGAGAGAAGGAGAAAGGGCAAAGGAGACAGAATATGTGGGTGTGGGGTATTGTCTCCTTTTGAGGTGTCTCTCCTGTGGGGTGTATATACACTTCAGGGGGTATTTTGTTTGATGAACTCTTTTTTTTATTCAATAGAAGATAAACAAATATAAATAAAGAAATAGCATTATAAATAGATATTACTGTGTTATATTTTACGTGCACTTCTCTGCGTATTTACAATGTACAGCAGATCCTCGTATAAAGAAATATATTTTATAAAAATTAATTTCTTTACTTTTACCTCGCTCTCCTTACGCTTTGTGATAATACTGCATGCAACCTGAAGTAAAGTCTCTTTAGATTAGTTCAGGACATGTATATATATATATATATATATATATAGGTATATCTGTATGCATGCATATATGTATATATATGTATATATATATATATATACATCCACATATATCTAGTCATATATATTATATATACACATACATATATAATCATATATATTATATATATAATACATATAGATATATATTATGTATATATAATATATACTACTTAGTTGTAGCTATTGACGTAGGAGGGAGAGAGGGTAAACATCTCTGATTAAACTCGCAAACACATAACTAAATAAATTTATATATTACATATTATTCAATATATAAACAAATTTATATATTCCTCATACTACTCGAACAAAACAGCAAAAAAATTTTGAAGGGGGGCCCCTCTTACTGGGGGCCCCCGGGGGCCCCTGGGGGCCCCCCTACACGTTTGAATTGGAATTGAAGCCTCATAGAATATAAAAGAGAAATATTAGAGTTAATATTAATTATTTTTATTATTTTAATTGTTATTTCGGTTGTTTTTAGGGGCTTAAAAGGGAAGGAGGCGCAGCAGGAGATGGTAGGGGCTTTACCTTTTGCTGCTGAAGTTACTGTTGCTGCTGTTGCTGCTGCTGCTCCTGCTGCTGTTGCTTCTTCCTCTGCTTCTGCTCATTCTGAGGCTACCACAACTGCAGCAGCAGCAGCTGCTGCTGCGCTGACTCGCCGCTTCTCCTCGTAACTGTAAATGTGCAGCGAGCGGCAGCGGCAGCAGCAGCAGCAGCAGCAGCAAGGGCTGCTGTTGCTCCCACCGCTGCGCACTACACAAGTGACAGCTACAGCGAGAGCTACTGCAACAGCAGCAGCACCTGCAAAATAAGGCTTGCGTGCCCCACCCCTTCAGCAGCAGCAGCAGCAACAGCAGCAGCAGCAACAGCAGCAGCAGCAGCAGAATTTACCACAGCTGTCTGTACACCGCGGCGCCAAATGAAGCAGCAAAAGAAAGCTGCACTTTTCCCTGAATATTTAGAGGATGAGTTGCTGCAGCAGCAAGAAGAGCAGCAGCAGCAGCAGCAGCAGAATGTCGCTGCACTGTCGTGCGGCACATCGTACAGGCCGGATGAGGTGCTGCAGCAGCTGGGTTTATCTAGGGATCTGCTGCAGCAGCAGCAGAAGCTACTGCAGCAGCAGAAGCCTCAGCTGCTGCTGGAGCTTGAAGCAGAAGCAGCAGCAAAAGAAGCAGTAAGAATACAAGAAGCAGAACTTGTTAGAGGAGAGGTAAATCTAGAGAGAGACGAGAGGGAGCACCGTCGGCAGTTTAAGCTGCAGCAGCAGCAGCAGCAGCAGCTAGAGCAGCAGCAGCAGACGCATGATGGTGAAGCAACGTACAGAATCTATAAGGACAAGCGCAGACGGCAGCGACAGCAGCAAACGCAGCAGCAGCAACTCGTGCTGCCTGCAGCAGCAGCAGCAGCAAGCCCCTATTCCAGCCGCCGCCGCCGCAGCAGCAGCAGCAATAGCTCCGATGACAGTGTTGTCATCATCGACCCTCCCTCGCCCAGCAGCAGCAGCAGTAGCAGCAGCAGCAGCAGCAGCAGCAGCTGCGCCGTCAGCAGCAGCAGTAGCAGCGCCATCAGCAGCATCAGCAGCAGCAGCAGGTGGCCGCATGCTGCTGCTGCTGCTCGAGGTGGGCCTTATATATCTCCCGATGTTCTTCGTAAGTTAGAGGAAGGCTCTGAGAAGCCCCAAACTATTTGGAGCACAAAACGCATGCAAACAGCAGCAACTGCTGCTGAGGGGCTTCTGCTGCACTCTAAACATAGACAGAGAAGCGAGAGAGGCGCCGGCTCCACCAAGCAGCAACAGGCAGATGCCAGCAGCAGCAGCAGCAGCAGCAGCAGCAGTGCAGCAGCAGCGGATACTGGAGCTGCAACGTCCTTCCCTGTGGAGAGGCGGAGGAGGAGGAAAGCAACAGCAGCTGCAGCAGCAGCTGCTGCTGCAGCAGCTATTGCTGCTGGGGGAGGGGGGCCCCTGCAGCACGAGCATCAATTTGCTGTCGATATCGATGGGCTTGAGAAGCCGCTGCTGTTTTCTGCTGCTGCACATGACCCGACAGCAGCGGCAGCAGCAAGCGGGAGCAGCAGCAGCAGCAGCGACGGCGAAGACACAGGCGTAGCAACAAAAGAAAGAGAAGAGAAAAGAAATATCCAGCAGCAGCAAGAAGAACTCTTGCTGCTGCAGCAGCAAGACAAACTGCTGCTGCTGTGTAGACAAAAGCCTCGAGACTTGGATCTGTGGGTGCAGCTGGTGGCGCTTCAGCAGCAGCTGCTGCAGCAGCAGCAGCAGCTGCTGCTGTCAGAGGTGACCTCAGAACAGGTGCTGCTGCGGCAGCAGGACGTCCTTGACGTGGCATGCGGCCGCGAGACAAATGCAGCAGCAGCAGCAACAGCAGCAGCATCACCAGCCTCAGCAGCAGCAGCAGCAGAGCCGTCTCTGGTTGTACTGAGGCGGCTGCTGCTGCTGCAGCAAACAGGGGCCCCTTTAGCAGCGCCTGCGTGGCGTAGCACGGCGGCCTTAGTGGGGAAGCTGATGGCCTCGCTGAACTCCAGCAGCAGCAGCAGCAGCAGCAGCAGCAGCAGCAGCGACGCCAGCACCCAAACTGCACTGAGACTTGCTCGGTGTCTCTGCAGCGCTGCTGCTGTCTCCCCACAGCAATCAGAGATATCTATGCGGCAGCTGTTTAACGATTTGCTGCATGCAGCAACTGAAACCATCTCGCCTGCAGCAGCAGCAGCAGCAGCACCCGCAGCAGCAGCAGCAGCAACAACAACAGCAGCAAGCAACTACAGGACGTGTCTCTCGTTGCTGCATCAAGTTCTCTTTGATTTCTTTCTTCCTCTCGAAGCGAAGGCGGGCCGCGTTGCTGTTGCTGCTGCTGCAGCTCAGGCTGTCGTTCACCTGGCGCTGCTGCATGCCCAACAGCAGCAGCAGCAGCAGCAACAGCAGAAAAGGCTTTCCCCATTGGAGCAGTTAAAGGTAGGATGACGCTAGCGACTGCGCCACTGTTTTAATAGAGAATTTGCTGCTGTCGCCGTTTTTGCTGCTGCTGCTGCTGCTGCTGCTGCTGCTGTGTCGGTTTTGTTGTTTCCGCGGCTGCATGCGATTGTTATTTGTGTGCTGCTGCTGCGCTTCGTTGTGTGCAGCAAATATGGATGGGCATGAGCAGCAATTGCTGCAGACGTGCGGGGGAGATCGGCTGCCGACTGCAGCAGCAGCAGCAGCAGCAGCAGCAGGTAGGCACCAGCCCGGCTACGACGGTGTACGTACAGCTCTGCGAAACTGTTGATAGCAGCGTTGTGGCTTCGCGGGGAGCTCAAAAGGACCTGCAGCAGCTGCTGCTGCAGTGCCACGCAGGATGCGCAGCAGCTGAGAGTCTTGGCAGCAGCAGCAGCAGCAGCAGCAGCAGAGCCTCTGATGAAGTGGGGGGCTTTGCCGCCTACTGTGCTGCAGACTTCGGGGCCTCCCAGTTCGGCTGGAGAGCTGCTGCTGGAGGCCCTGTGGGGTCGGAGGCAGCAGCAGCAGCAGCAGCGTCTACAGAAGCAGCAGCAGCTGCCGAGGCTGCTGCTGCTGGCAAGATAGCAGCGGAAGCAGCCATTGTAGCAGCAGCGGATGCAGCCAAAGTAGGAGAAGCTGCAGCAGCAGCAAGTGCAGCAGCAGAAGCAGCAGCAGCTGGTCCTTCGTTTGCTGCTATGGACGCAATGCGGCGTGCTGCAGAGGCAGCAGCTGCAGCAGCACAGGCAGCAACGAAGAGCGCTGTGGAGGCAAGGAATGCAGCAGCAGCAGCAGCAGCAGCAGACCTCAGGCTTCCCTCTCCTTACTGCGTCGCTGGAGACCGTATGCAGCAAGCGAAGCAGTGGCAAGTGCTGCAGCCTTTACTTTCTGCTGCTGACAGCGTTTTATCTGCTGCTGCTGCGGGTATGTGCTGCTGCAGCAGAACGAAGGCCCTCGGCAGCAGCAGCAATACCAGCAGCAGCAGCAGCGCCTACGGCATGCCGCCCACTCCAAGTGAAGCGGCACCGAGAACAATGCATGCAACAGCAGCAGCAGCAGCAGCATATGGGCTTGTCCTTGGGGTCCTTGACAGTCTCTGCTCCCCCACACTGCACAGGCTTCCTTCGCATCATCCGCGCATGCTGCGAGGAGACACTGCAGCAGCAGCAGCAGCAGATGCAGCAAGGCTCAGGTATCTTGTGCTTCAGTTGCGGCAGCAACAGCAGATGCAGCAGCTCGAGCAGCAGCAACAGCAGCAGCAGCATACTGCCTTTTCATCCGAAGCCGTGTGGACAGGTAGCAACAACAGCAACAGCAGCAGCAGCACCTGCTGCAACAGCAGCAGCAGGAGCAACAACAGTAACAACGGTGCTGTCCCCTTTTCCTTCTTCTGGCCTGTCTCTTCTTTGCTGTCTTCTGATGAGGCCCCGATGCTGCAGCAGCAGACACGAGCAGCAACGCAGTGGCTGTTAGCCCAGCGGCGGCTGCGGCGAGCGGTGCTGCGTTGCCAGCAGCAGCAGCCGCAGCAGCACCAGCAACAGCAGCAGCAGGAGCAACAGCAGCAATCCGAATCCGAGTTGTCTTTTGCTGCACTCCTTGGAGACGCCACTACACCGCAGGCCTTAGCGGCCCTAATCTGCTCTCAGGTAGGCAGCCTTTGCAGCGAATACGATGTTGCTGCTGTTGTTGCTGCTGCTGCTGCCTCTGCTGCTGCTGCCGCTGCTGCTGCTGCTGTTGGTGCAGGAGCGTTGCCTAGGCGAACGGGGATGAAGGCATCACAATTGGCGTGATGCCCTGCAGCAGCTGCAACACCCGCAGCATCAGCACCAGCAGCAGCAGCAGCAACTTCAAGCGCTCAGCAACTGCAGCAGCAGCAGACTTAGGTTGGCTGTGTCTGTGTCTCGCTGTCTCCTTTGCAGGCCCTTCTGGCATTCCCCGATGACCGTTTGCTGCTGTATTGCGCCCTGTGTCTCTGCCCGTCTTCTAAGTAGGTTTTGCTGCTGCTGCTGCTGCTGCTGCTGCTCCTGTTGCTGTTGTTGCTGCTACTGTTGCAGCAAGTCGATTGGTACCGTTCCAGGTTGACTGCTCAGGTGTATGTTCACTCCTTTTATGCCTCATTGCATGCTGCTGCTGCTGCTATGCGTCCCGCCGCTCTTGCTGCTGCTGCTGATGTTGCTGCTTGTTGCTGCTGCTGCTGTTGCTGCTGCTGTTGCTGCTGCTGCTGCAGGATCTTCCGGCTGGTGCTTAAGCGAAACGAAGCAGAGCCGGCCTTGTGGCTCACCTTTGCTTCGTCCCTCTTCCTCCAAGCAGCAGCAGCAGACACATCTGGCTCGAGCAGCAACAGCAGCAACAGCAACAACAGCAACAGCAACAGCAGCAGCAACACTGGGAAGAAGAAGAGCTCCCCACAGGCCCTGCTGCTGCAGGGAAGAAAGGTGCTGCTGACTTGCTGCAGCGCCTTTGCAGCTCATGCGCCGCTGGCGGCCTCCTGGGCCTTCCTTGAGCTGACGACTGCTGCTGCTGCAGAGGCTGCTGCTGCAGAGGTTGCTGCAGCGGATGCTGCTGCTGCCAAAGCTGCTGCAGCAGACGGTGCTGCTGCTGCTGCAGCAGATGCGCGTACGCAATGCATGCAGGAAGGACAACAGCAGCAAACAGCTGGGGCTCTACCGCCGCTGTTTTGCTTCGGCTGGCCCTGGGCATGTTGGATGGGGGGCATCGGGGGCGTGCCTCCTCAGCAGCAGCAGCAGCAGCAGCAGCAGCAGCCGCGGGTGGGAGTTCTGCTGCCCTTTGAGGGATGGGGAGTTGCAGCAGCAGCGATGCATGTGGCTGTGTGTTCTGCTGATCGCTCCTTTGCTTCCTTGAACCCAGCCTCTCCTGGTGTGCTGCAGAAGCAGCAGCAACAACAACAAGAGCAGCAGCAGCAGCAGCAGGAAGTGGCGGGCTCTATGGAAGCAGAGGGGGAGACAGAGACAGGCTCCTTCCCGTTTGCTCGGTCTCATGTTGCTGCTTGCTGCGCCGTGCTGCTGCAGCGCGCACGGATTGCTGCTGCTGGTGCTGCTGCAGTTGCTGCTGCAAACGCCAGTGCCTTCCCGCTGCTGACGTCTTCTCCCTGGGCTAACCTCTTCTTAGCGCTGCTGCTGCATGCTGCCGTGTCTCCTTCGGTTGCTGCTATTTGGGGCTTGTTTGAGCAACACCGTGCTGCTGTTGCTGCTGCTAGTGCTGCTAGTGCTGCAGCAGCAGCTGGCGGTAACTCCTGTTGCTCCGCCTGCTGCGGGTGCTCCTCCGAGGCAGCTTCAGGCAGCAGCAGCAGCAGCAAGAGCAACAGCAGCAGCAACATGGAGAACAGCAGCAGCAGCAGCAGCAGCAATGCAGCAAATCCACTTGACCGCTGCGGGCTCTGCAGCAGCAGCGAGGCAGCAAGGTGTGAGGAGCTGGCCTTGTCGTTTATATTGGTTTTGCTGCTGTCTGTAAGCGTCCCCGGAGCAGCAGCAGGAGCAGCAGCAGGAGCAGCAGCAACAGGAGGAGGAGCAGCAGCTGCAGCAAGTGCTTGTGGGGCTGCTGCTGCTGAAGAAGACGAAGCAAAACTGCTACAGGCTGTGGAGTTCATGCTGCGGCGCTTCCCCTCCAATCCCTTCTTTCTTGCGGTGTACACGCAGGTCTGTTAGCATCATTTGTGTCTCTTTAGGCATTCTAAATGCTGCTGAGTTGCAGCAGCAGCAGCAGCAGCAGATGCTCTTCTCTCTTCTCCTATCATCTTGTTAATGCAACCCAACGTATAGAGTTGCAGCCGACCTGCTTATCTTGCTTCCTGTTGTGCTGCTGCTGTCGCTGCTGCTGCTGTAGCACCTCGTTGAGAATTTACAAACAGGGTTAGGGTATATGTTGCGCTGCTGATGCTGGCGCTGCTGCAGATACTGCTACTGCTGCTGCTGCTGCTTCAACTGCTGCAGTTGCTGTTGCTGCTGTGTGCTTCAGCTACTGTTGCGTCCTGGAGCAACGGGACGGCGAGCTGTGCGGGAGCTGTACAAGGAGTTGCTGCTAGGCCCCAGTAGCCCAGCAGCAGCAGCAGCTGCTGCAGCAGCAGCAGCAGCAGCAAGCCGGCCTAAGCCTCTTTGCTGGTGGCCCTCTGCGGCGACGCTGGAGAGCGCGTTTATGTCTGAATGGATGATTGCTTTTAAAACAGCAAAGGCTGTGCCTCAGTGGTACGTGGGCAGCAGCAGGGGCAGCAGCAACAGCAGCAACAGTACCTATAGCAGCACTAGCAGCTGCAGCAACAGCAACAACACCCACAGCAGCACTAGCAGCAGCAACAGCTCAAAATACGATATTAGCCATCACAGGCACTTGAACTGCAGATCATCTGTGCAGCATTAGGTTGAACCCTCATGCTGCCGCTACTGCTGCTGCTGCTGCTGCTGCTGTTGCGGTTGCTGCTGCTGTTGTTGTGGTTGCTGCTGGTGCTGCAGGCGACTGGAAAGGCTTGCTCAGTGGGCCAGCAGACACACGGCCCTTCCCTTCGCGCTGCTGCAGCGGCTGCCAGGTGCTGCAGAGGGAATGCCTTGCGGCACTGCAGTGCTGCAGCGGGAGCAGCACATTTGGGTGTATCTACAGGCGTTGCTCCTCAACCTCAGCAGCAGCAAGAACAGCAGCAGCAGCAGCAGCAGCAGCAGCAGCAGAAGTGTTGTTTCCCCGCATGCAACTAAAGATGCTTTAGCGCTGCGGTGTATGGACGGCACAGTTATCGCGAGCCTTTGCGAGGGCTTGTGGGCCCCACAGGCGCAGCAGCAGCAACAATGTCAACTAGACAATAACCAGCAGCAGCAGCAGCAGCGGCAGCAGCAGCAGGGAGAGGGGCCACGGCAGGAAGCCGGGCTCATGGAAGAGAGGCTGCTGCAGGCAGCTTGTGAGTGTCCCTTTTCTAAGAGGTGCGGATATCAACATACAGACAACCAAAAACTTATCTGTCTCCTTTTGTGTGCTTTCGTCTCCTTTTATCTCCTCCTCTTCTTTCACTGTCTCTTCTTCTGTCTCCTTTGCTTCTATAAGGCTGCTGCACTCACTGCTGTCTCCCATCAGGCCTTGTGGCTGTCTTTATATATATATATATA